AACTCTTCCTGCTCAGCAGCTCCTTCCTCTTGCTGACATAGATTTTAACCAGTTTCAGCACTGCAGGGAAACAGCTACAGAGAGCAGCTGCAGCCAGTGTTTCTCTCACTCTCCATTCTTAGCCAAGCACCTGGTTTTTTTTAAAATTTTCAGCACAAGGTATGTTACTAACAGTCAAGGAGAAAGGCCTCTTGTGCTGGGGTTTTTAGTTGAAATCTTCAGTCCTCTGATCACCCCAATACTTCAGCAAGCACTGCACAGCATCACGATCTTCTAGTGCCACAGGGATAAATAGAGGGACCTGTCATATGAAGAGTGCCAGCTATGCCCGCCCTTTCTGACCCCCTCCTTCATACATAGATTCATTCATAGATTCTGTACTATAATGTCTGTGAATGAAACGCAATCTATTGAATAGATGGCCAGTGGATGAATGATGGTGCAGGTGCAGAAAGGACCATGCTGTGTGGCAGAGCCTGTGTAAATAGTAGGACTAATTGGACAAAAAACCAAATTCTTCGGCAGGTAAAACAGCTTCCACATATGTATTTCAACTGTGTTTTTCACCTGAAGTTCATTTTAAGCCAAACACAACAATGAACTGGTTTACAAAAAATTGCACCAATTCCTGTGTTGTGGGCTCTCTGTTAATGTTTGGAACATACTTGAAGAACCAACAGGAGTCTAAACATAGCCCCACTCCACCTAGGATAGAGAAATGTATTTTCTGTGGATCTGAACTTTAACTTGATTCATACCACTTATATTTGGGAATATAATTTATTAGGACTTTCAGGGTGTCACAGAAGAAGATTATGAACACTTATATATAAAATCCCTGTTTTGGCGATATAATTTCATAGTATAACATTGTTATTGACTAATTGTGATGAATCACATAGGTGAAATGAATGGTGTGAAACACGGACAGGTCAAAAACAACAACATTGCAAACTGCAGATAATTTCATCTTTAGTAGAGCATGTTATTAATCATACATGTAAAGCCGCTTAAATCTTAATATTTTATAAGTACAACATTTCTTCAGACCCCACCTAGTATAGTGGATCCCTTTCTATAGATATAAAAGGACAAGTCTAATTATCCAAAGATCAGCTTCCCTGATCATAGTTATTTTTTATCTCTTCCAGCACAATGACTTTCTTCGCTGTAGGATTATTTTCACTGAGTGTGATTCTGACTATTCAGGAGGTAAGATTATACATTCTTTAAGAATACTTAAAACTTTATTTTATAGTTCCAGATATTTGATGCAGTTAAAGACCAATGCAACCCAGAAACTGAAATTACAGAGGCACTGTTGGTTTTGAATGATGTAAGGCTTGGATGCAGCCTGCTTGGCCATGGAAACCCATTCATGAAGCCTCTATGCATGCTGCATGATTTGCTAATCTGAAGGCCACACCAAGTTTGGAGTCTTTAGATATTGACTCTCAGACAGTTGGTGACTTCTGTGCACTTCAGCATCGGCTGACCCCCACTCTGTCATTTTACGTGGCCCTACCACTTGAGGCTGATTGCTGTTGTCTCCCAGTTTTGCTTCCACTTTGTTATAATACCACTAACAGTTGACCGATGCGAATATTTTTTAGCAGAGAAATGTCATGGATGGACTTATTTGCACAGGTGGCCACCTATCACGGACCCACGCTTGAGAGTCACCTGAGCTCCTGAGAGCGACCCATTCTTTCACAAATGTTTGTTGAAGCAGCTCTGCATGCCTAGGGCTTGATTGTATACACCTGTGTCCATGGAGGTGATTGGAACAGCCTGAAATCCCAATGATTTGGAGGGATGGCCCAATAGCTTTTGCCAATATAGTGTACATCTGGGTAGGCATGTCATTATGATATTTAATGGAAAGTATGGGAATTAAATAAAAAACAAACATACATTCCTCACCTTGGTATGATGCTGCAGCTGTCCCTTGTCAGTTTCTAAGCTTAGGAGCTGAGCAATCACATAACTGCTGATTGCAAGTTCTTGGTCTGCTTAGAATGGAGAGCAGTTACTAGTCTCTGCTCTGCCCACTTCAGTGCTCACTGGTTTGGAGAGGGGGGTTGGCACAGCTGGCTTCGGCTTTCAGCCGTTCGCTGAGAGTTGGAGCTAGTTGTCAATGCAGGAGCAGCTGGGTGGAGACCGACAAATATGGTCTGGATCCATTCCAGGAGTCTGTAGGCGCTCTGTGATGTTGTCAGCTGACTTCTCTTTTAAAAAGCAAGTCATTAAATATTAATTGTAAAGCTTTTTATAAGGAATACTATATATTGACAGAAATTGTATTATGATGTCACCATTGCTTTACATCAGTCACTCCCTTCTATATTTTTTTTATTTTAGTATCATCTTGGCTTGCTATTTCATGTACCAACATGAAAAAGCAACACTCTGTGAAAACTACAGCCAGCAGTGATCTGTAACTCCTCTAAGCCTGTGTTTTACACAAATAGACAAAGCAGCTACGTAAGGTATAACATTTTTACTGAAAACTACTTCTTTGGGTGTGTCACCTTAAATTACATCGGGGTCAATTAATTGTTCATTTTCTAATTCTTGTTGCAATATGGTCGTTTATGTATAGTGGCCTACTATACTAAACGCAAAAAAAAATAAGTGATGTAAACCTGCGTTCACCTTCTGGCATCCAATCAGCAAGGATAGCTGTCTTTTTTTTTTTTTCATTTCTCTGCTTGTGATTGGGCCGATCTTTTTACCAATAAAATAACTGCGCCATGAGCCATGACCTGCAAGAAGAAAGAAAAAGAAGAAGAAAATGAATAAGAAAAAGAATTACAGGTCCGCATTTATATTTGACATTAAAAAGTATAGCAGTTGCAACATTGTATCTATTTGTATCCGAATAAAAACATCTGTATCCGAAATTGATACAAAAATAGATACATATGTTGCAACCGCTAATACTTTTTAATGTCAAATACAAAGTGGAGCTTCTCTGCAGGGACAGACGTTAATCACCTCACTTCCGCTATTATATTGCCCGGCTTGTAGACGGTGTGAATTCAGACGATTTTTTTTATAACCGTTGGTGTAATGTCGGCCGATTTTGAAATCGACCGATATTTTTTGTGTTTTTTTAAAAAAAAACGGACGGTTTATTTTGCCCGTCTATGGCCTGCAGAAAGGAAGTGTTTATTGTAAAAGCAGACAATGCGTTCACTTGAGCATTGTACGTATTAAAGGACACCTTAAGCCCTACGTTTGCTAGATTGTGCGCTATGGAGAAAAAAAACATACATGGAGTTCCATCTTGACGACATTCATGTAGATACATTTTTTTAATAAAATGGACATGTTTGACATCCGTTGATTTTCCTTTCCATGTGTTCTGAACCCATGTATGAAATCTTTATTTTCATGCAGGTTTTTTTCAGAATGTTTAAAAGCATGGAAATACTGAACAACTAATAATGTCTGCTCTTATACAATGTTCCATGCACTACCACTGTTTTCTCCAAGGAGAAACATGTAGTCTGAACCCATATGGAAGAAAAATCAATTTGAAATATATTTTTCAAAATATTCTTCCCAAATATTTTTTAACCATTTCTTAAAAAATATATATTTTTAAAATATATTCTTCAGATTTTTTTTTAACATATAACAAAGTATTTTTACATATATTTGAAAATTGACATTCCAAAAATTTAAATTTTGTATTTTTACAAGACATACAGTATATTTGAAATGTATTTTCAAAAACAATTTCAAATATTTTGTAATAAAAAAAACAATTTCTAACATACGGTGTATATATAATTATATATATATATATATATAGATATATATATATATATATATATATTTAAATAATTTTGAAATATAATTGAATATTTGCCAAAATTGTAGCCTTTCAAATATAATGTCAATATATTTTTGGGATTTTATTATATTTTTTTAAATATTATAATGAAAATATAATTTTCTTCCAAGTGCGGAAGTCAGGAGCGTTAAGTAGAAGCACAGGGGCGTCATTGAGCAAAATGACCTCTTGACCAAATCTAAAAAATAAAACAGTGAGACGTCCTTCCTGTCCCAATTACCTTTATATACACAAAGATTGCCTGAAGCTAATCCGCTCTACATCCATCCACAATACATTTACAGACCCCCTTGCAGCCAATCATCAGATTCCTTTTATGTGGCCCCCCCAGCTAGAGATATCTATATACCCCCTTTTTCATTTGCGATGCAACTTTCCATAGAACATGCCGCCCGATTCGCACCGCAATTCCCTTTGCAACCATCCATCTCATCTTTTTGCACCCACTAGATACCCCTTTTTTTTCTCATCCATATTTCAAAATTGCCCAAATCCATAAACCCCCTTTTGTGGTTATCCATAGTCCTATTTTGCAACCATCCACGGATTTCATTTGTAGCCATTCACAGCCCCAAATGCAGCCATCAGCAGGCAGGTCTTTGCAGTCATCCTCATTCCCAAGCTTGCACCCATCCACAGAACCCCCCCTTGTAGTCCCTTCCTACTCCCACTACCAGCCATCTACAGACCTTTTTGTATACATCCATAGCCCCATCTACAGCCATCCACAGACTCTCTTTGTAATCATACATAACTCACTGCAGCCAGCGTATAGAGCTCCTGAATCTAACACACAATAAATACACACAATAAATTTTGGGTTTAGACACACTTTTAAGAAAACTAAGTAAATAATTAATAAATAATTGTAATAGACAATCTACCACATTTAAGTCATATTAAAAAGGCAACTTGACCATCTAATTTCCACTATCTCTGGCTTATTCTATTCTGATTTTTCAACTAAGAGTACATTAGTTCAGGCCTTGAAATTTCCACTCGCCTGCTTGCCAATGGCGAGTGGAAATTATGGGTGGGGGCGAGTATGTCCCCCAGGGCCGTCTTGTTGAGTAGGCTCGGAGCTCAGGCCGGATCTGTCATTGTCACTGGGAGCCGTCAGACTGCTAAATAGCTGAGCACAGTGAAAGCAAAGGAAGGAGTGTGTGCTGTGCTCTCTGCCTCCCCCTAGAGTGCAGTACCCGGCTCTGTGAGTGAACAACAAAGTACTGCAACTTTTTGTAGGGCTGTAGTGGCTTCAGGGAAGAGGATAGAGCACTTAACAGCATGTGTGCATGTGTGTACATGTTTGTGTATGTCTGTGTATGCATGTACATGTGTCTGTGTGTATGTACATGTGTGTATCTGTACATGTGTCTGCGTGTATGTACATGTATGTGTGTGTTTACATGTGTCTGTGTGTGTGTGCATGTACAGGTGTTTGTGTGTATGTATGTACATGTGTCTGTGTGTACATGTGTCTATGTATGTACATGTGTCTGTGTATGTATATACATGTATCTGTGCATGTGTATTTCTGTGTATGTACATGTATCTGTGTGTATGCGTGTGTGTACGTGCCTGTGCGTGTACATGTGTCTCTGTGCGTGTTTACATGTTTCTGTGTGTATGTACATGTCTGTGTGTGTGTACAGGTGTCTCTGTTTGTGCGTGTTTGTTGGTGGCGAGTAACTCTTAAGGCCTGGCTAGTAGCTCAGGACTTGAAATTTTAAGCCCTGCATTAGTTCAAACCCGGGAAATCAGGACTAGGGGTTATGCTATCAGAAGATAGGAATATAATTCTCACAGTGATTTACTCAGGCTTCTTAAACATCAGTACTCAAGAACACAATTATAAGGTGGTTTTTCAAAAGGGTTTAGGACCCCATTTCTCATCAATAGTCTGATCATTGCTGGCAATGCGGGGCTGCAGAAAGGACTATGATCCACATTTGGTGGCTGTGTCCCAACATCCAACAATACTAGACTCATGTTCATATTATCATCATCAGGGTCACAAGAAACACATTTTCTGCCTAGACAATCCTTACTTCATAACTCCATGACCCTAGGCAGCTCCTACTCTAAATCCCTCGCTATACATATGGTAAATGCAATGTGCATGTGCATCTCTACACACTGTTCTGTCCCCACATGAAGGCGAATGAAGGTATAACTGATAATGGCTGTGTAACTTCCTACCTTCGTATCCAAGCAGTGGAGCAGACCGGACCGGCAGATGCTCAGGTTAGATGGATCCAAACGTATACACGGGAATGAAATCAGCGTGGGTTTATTTGGTCCAAAAACAGCGACAAACAGTGATACAATACTGTAAGGTAGTAGAGGTATTGATGCTGTCCTGTGATATCTTTCCTGAGGCTAACTGCTGGTCAAAAACCGATGCCTTCACAAGCCCAGGGTATTGAATGTCCTGTCACACAGCTATAAAGCACATAAAATGGCTGCAGGAAGTGACCAGAACCAAGGCTTGCCTAAAACCACGCCCAGCAGAGAAAAAACTTTACTAGCAAGAACAGAGGCATGCAGCATGCAAATTCTGGCCAGCAGATGGTAGCAACAGATCAAGACATAGAAACAAACGTGGTGAAATAAGAATTGGTGATACAATGCACAGTTAAATAACAAATATGAGGAGAACAGCACACACACTGGCGATAAAAGCAAGCATCTAGCTTGGTTCACAAGATTGAATAGAATAATGGACATGGAGTAGTTGATACGCATTTCCAAAAATTGAATTACCAAATATAACAAACTTTAGGCATGCTGGTGTCACTTTCAAATCACCTCTGAATACAAAACTGTTATTTATTATTATTATTATTATTCAGAATTTATATAGCGCCAACAATTTACATAGCACTTTACAATATAAAGGGAACAGTAAAATTATAATACAGTTTGATACAGAAGGAATAGGAGGGCCCGGCTCATGGAGCTTACAATCTAAAGGGGGAGGTGGTACAAAAGGTAATAACTGCAGAGGATGATCTGATGGAGGTGACTCAAGCACAGTTCTTAGGTGGAGGTGGGTTAGGGCTTGGAGAAGTCCTACCAAGCGTTTACAAAAGGCAGGAGTGGAAGCCAGTGAAGATGATATGTTGTGGTTAGAGAGGGGCAGCAGTCAGAGATCGATTAATAAGGCGCATAAGTCTAGCAGCAGCATTCATAATAGACTGAAGGGGAAGGGGGGGGGTAGCCTGTGTAGGGGTAGGCCAGCGAGGAGGGAGTTGCAGTATCATGTCATAGGCTTCAAGACATAATGGATACATTGTGTGGGCAGCACAGTGGCTAAATGGTTAGCACTTCTGCCTGGCAGTACTAGGGTCATTGGTTTGAATTTCAACCATGGCACCACCTGCCTGGAGTTTGCATATTCTCCCTGTGCTGCATGGGTTTCCTCTGGGTTCTCTGGTTTCCTCCCACACTCCAAAGACATGCTGGTAGGTTAATCAGATCCTGTCTAAATTGGCCCTAGTATGTGTATGTATGAATGTGAGTTAGGGCCCTTAGATTGTACACCCCTTGAGGGTTAAGGACTGATGTGAATGTACAATATATATGATAAAGTGCTGCATAAATTGATAGCGCTATATAAGTACCTGCAATAATAATAATACATGTGACTCCTGAGCTCACCCACTGCACATAACATTTGGGAGATGCTTTCTTAGAATCTCTGACCTTGTGACCCCTCTCCATTTAGGATCCCCACCTCTCTGTTTTTTGTTTTCATTTTTCTAAGTTTCACTCTTGCCCTATTTCAGTCTTTAGTCTCAACCCCCAACAGTTGTTTTCACTTCTTCAGCCCTATTGAGATCAAATGTCCTTTTGAAAACATGGCCATCTTCAACCTCTGAGACTGCATATTTCCCACCTCTGAGACTCATATATCCCACCATCCCCTTTTGATGTGAGTGAGAGTTACATTTTGGTGCCTCTGGCTAACATGGGGACCTCCTTATTTCCATACTTTGCTTACATATTGCGATTTTGAGATATGTTGTTACCTTGAGATTTAAATATTCTGGGAATGTCTGACCTGTTTCATTGGGACATTAATCTTATCCCTGTCTTGTTGTTTTGTCTTTGTTTGACTTACTCTATATGTTGCTGAAAATGTACATTGAGGGTTGGTTTACACCATGAATCGCACAGAAATGCACTGTGCATTCCTGCAATTTACATGTGATCTAAGTACAGTGCGATTTCAGCCCATTTATTTGAATGGGCTGACATTGTGCAGGACTGTAACAGATGTATTGTATGCAGTAGTGTATTTAGGTTTTGTGCTGCCCTATGCATTGATCATCAACACCCCTGCCCCCCACCCGAGAGATCCTTCCACTACCACTGTTCATCATACACCAGCCACCATGGCCCATGGAGAGAGAGAAAGTCATTCATCTTCACAGCCCCGGACATCCCTGGGAATGAGATGATGCATACACCGTCATGAAACCCGCAGCCTCTCTCGGGAACCTACCAGTTCCACATGCCGCATTTGTCCCTTATTCCATCTCTTCTTCAGAGGGGCAATGCTGCCCCCCTGAAAAATGCCACCCTAGGCAAATCCCTTGTTTGCCTTGTGGTAAATACACCTCTGATTGTATGCACTACTTTACAAAATGCAGAGCAACTGGATCGCATGGTACTTCCGTACCATACATCCCAGTGCAAGTAAGTGCACTCCATTTGCAACCTGTTTTTGGAGTGTCATTAACCACTTCCCAACCGGCTGTTGCATATAAACGGCCGGACGGTGGCAGTGCAGGGTCAGGTGGCCGTTTATAAACGGCCTCCCCGCCCCCTGCTTGTGCGCGCTCCCTAGGAGCACGTAGCACCGCGATCCGGTGCCCGCTGTGTCCTCCAGACACAGTGAAACACCAATCGTCGAACGGGACCTCTGTGCGAGGTCCCGATCAAGTGATCACTGATTGGCCAATCAGTGATCACATGCAAATTAGTAAGCAAGATGTCACATGTGACATCATTGCTTACTACGTGTGAAATCTGTGAATGATCACAGAGGTCACATGGTACAAGGCTATTCACAACAGCCTTGTACCATGTGACAAGCTGTGACCAATCACAGCTCACTCAGTACTTCTCAATGAGTGCAAGAATGCAGACAGAGAGAAGGAGAAATGATTGCTTTTACATCCTATATGGGTGTAAAAGCAATCAGTGTAAAAAAAAAAAAAAAAAAATCTTCATCACCCCCCACAAGTAGTACAGTGTCACCATGGTGACACTGTACTGCTAGGGTGACAGTATGTAAAAAAAAATAAAAATAAAAAAAAAAATAATATAAAAATAAATAAAATAAAAAAATGTAAAAAAAAATGTTTAAAAATTATAATTTTTGGTTATAAACTAATTTGGATTTTTTTTTTTTTACTAAAGAGATAACAGGAATACATTTTGGCCACGATTTATAATGAAATATTATTTATTTGCAAAATTTTATTAAAAAAACACTTTTTTTCAAAATTTTTGAACTTTTCATTTACATAGCAAAAAAAATAAAAATCCCAGCGGTGAATAAATACCACCAAAATAAAGCTTTATCTGTCTCAAAAAAATGGTAAAAAATTCATTTGGGTACAGTGTTGCATGACCACGCAATTGTCATTCAAAGTGTGATAGCGCTGAAAGCTGAAAATTGCCCTGGTCAGGAAGGGGGTAAAAGTGTTGGTCTGGAAGTGGTTAACATTGCACTGGCACCCGCTGCATATTTCAAGCGCAGTGCGCACGGAACGTATGTTTCCAGCACCACGTTCTGGTGAGAGCTGACCCTTAAACCCTGATAACAAATTATGTACCAAAAAAGGACAACATGATCATTCAATGTTCCTTATTTGCCTATTTGTTTTTTGTATTCAGTTCACAGTGTGAAGATTACCAAAAAATGCGTCCAGGAGAAAGAATGCAGTCCAACAAACTACAATGTATTGGTGGCCTCTAAGCATACGTCCTGCTGCTCTGGAGACTTCTGCAATGAATATGCTAATGGGCAGACCAATGTAACATGCAATATGTTCCTTTTAGTGGCTGCAGTACTGATGCTCGGAATCTTCAAGAAGATGGAATAGACTAAACCAGCAATTCCTATGGAACTTGAATTTTTTTTTAGATCTTGTATATATGAGTCATCCAGGACTCGAAAGCATACTGTTCTTAGATACCTTTCAGAAATCTAGTATGGGTCATGCATGAACATTTTTGCAAGAGGAACAGTCTACCTTGCATACAGCAGCAAATCAGATTCTTCCATTCATTCTGGCACTTTCATCTATGAGGCCTATTACACCAAATATTTTTAGAGCAGGACAGTCAAAGTAACCCTGAACTTCATATAAAAATATATATAGAGAACATCTCCAGACAGTTATGTAAACCATCAGAGGTTCATATATACTGTATAACTGATCAGGCTAAGTTACTATTTTGCAGTCAGAATTCAGGCATAATTATGTTCCTTAGTAGAGTTGATGACAATTTTGCACTGTTGATGTCAGCGTTTCACTTTTTGATGTAATCA